CAAAAGGTTTATGGGGGAGTAATGCCTGTATAAAAAAGGGGAGAAGTGGGCTGGGGCAGAGGGAGCCATCAGTCTGTGATGCAGACCCCACAAGTTCAGCCAGCCCCCAGGGGGACTCTGAAGCAAAGACTGCCTGGCAGCGGAGTCCTGTCTTGGGTGGGAAGAGCCAGGGCCCTAGACCACCACATTGCTCAAATATTGGCCAAAGAGCTTGACTTTGGCTCAAAATCTGAGTTTTGCGCTAACCCTGAAGGAGCTAGCAGCATGGAGGCTGTCAGCTAAGCACACGCCTAGCAGCTGGGTCCCGAGTCTCTTCTTGAATGGACACCAGACTGTTACCTTTTTGTGTCTGCCATGCCAAGTAGAATTTTTGGAGCTCTGTTCTAAAAGCAATGGAAAACCACTGAATAGTTTCGACCAGACAAGATAGCATTTCATGGTTACATAAATATTTAATGATGCCCACTGAATCATTCATACAGCAAATAGTCGAGTGTCTGTCATGTGCCAGGTGCCGCCTAGGTGCTCAGGATACATGAGGGACAAAACTAAGCGCCTTATCTGATGGAGCTTACATTCCACAGAGAGGGAGAGACAATCGGACATCGTATGTAAATTTCGTAGTATGTTGGACTTTTGCTCCTCAGTGTGGTCCGTGCCAACGGTATCAGTGTCACCTAGGGGTTTGCTAGAAATGCCAGCCACACCCTAGACCTACCAAATTCAAATCTGCATTTTATCAAGAACCCAAGGTGATCCTTACGCAAGGTAAAATTGAGGCTCCGCTCTCAATTTTAACCTTTTAAGCAAGGCTAAAGTGGGGGAGACAACTACAGAATTAAAAAGGGTAGTCCAGGTAGACCTCTTTGAAAAGGGAAACTTTGATTAAAAACATCAAGTAGGTGAGGGAGTTGGTCAAGAACTCTGGGTCGACACGTTTGCAGGCAGAGGGAATAGCGAGAACCAAGGCTCTAAGGTGAAGTGTGTCTACAGTGTTTGAAAGCAAGAGGGCCAGTTTGGCTGGAGCAGAGCGGGCAAGGGTGAAGAGTAGGAAGAGAAGCAGCAGGAAGATAAAGGAGGTAGGGTAGGGTGTCCAGATGCTATTACGCCTTTGGGAGCACAGCAAGGATTTTGCTTATACTCAGTGATTTGAGGAGCCACACCAAGAATTTGAGCAGATAAGTGATACAATACATGTCTTAAAATGATCACCCTGTCTGTTGTATTGAGAATAGACTGTAAAGGGGCATGAGTAGAAAGCAGGGAGACATTTTTGTGGGTGCGAAGCGGGTACAATATTGATTCAGACAAGGAACATTGATAGTTCAGCCTGGTTGGTAGCAGAGGAGTTGAGAAGTGGTTTGACTCTGGGTAAGTTTTTAAGGTTAATCCAACATTTCTTAATGGGTTAGATTTAGGATGTGAGAAAGAGAGGAAGTGAGGGTAAGTCCAAGGTTTTTGGCCTAAACAATTGAAAGAACATAAGTATGATTAGTTCAAGTGGAGAAGGCTGTGGGTGGGACAGGTTGCTTGGGAGATCAAGGATTTTCCCTTGGCATGTAGAAGTTGAGGTGTGTTAGACACCCAAGAAATGATTAGTCAGTTTCACACAAGTGTGGAGTTCAGGAAAGAGGTTTGCTAAAGACATAAATTTGGCAGCCATGACCAATCATTCTACTATAGTTATCTAAGAAAAGAGCTGAATATAATGTACTGCTATGTTTGCAGATTTGCTGATGATATCAAAAACTTTGGTCAGATAATACAATTGATGTGGTAGTCACTGTGACATAAGCTTTGTCTGTGCATCTCTCCTGGATTGTGATCTGAAATTTTAGGTGCATAAAACAGTTCATGCACTTTATATATGTTTTCTTTTTTTAATTCTCAAATGTAAAACAAAAACTAACTCATATAAACCAAAATAGAAAAACTCTGAAAATAAGAGATGGTCATCTAAAATCAACTATATACCTTTTAATTTCCACTGGAGAATGGACAAAATTCATTGATGACTCCCTCTCAAAAAAGAGCTCTACTAAGTAAACTAGATAATGAATGCATTTTAATTTAAACCTAGAACAACTTGGTATAGTATAGCCTTATTCAGAGCATTATAGGAGATATTAACAGTAAGTGTTATGTTTCAGGCATCGAGTTAATTATTTTACATATACTATCGTCTCACTTAATCCTCAATCCTGTAAGGTTGTACCCATTTCACATAAGATTGAGATTCAGAGACGTTACATATGCGAGCTCACATGGTTAATAAGAACCAGTGCAGAGATCTAACCCCAAATCACATGAGAACTACCTGCAAAATACAAACAGCACATTTTGGAAATAAAATCTGCTGAAGAAGAAAGTGATAGTAAGTCTATTATATTTTCAAATAAAAGATAAAGTGCTTCCTTTAGAAAAGATTAATTTCAAGGCATTCAACGTTCTATAGTCAACAGATCCTTTAAAAATGGTTGCTGGAATGTTACCTCCTCCCTCTTTAAAAAAATAAAAATCTAGCTCCCTCCCCCACCTCCTATAACTCATGATTCTCATTATAATTATGATTTTTCTTGCTGATATTTGGGCAAGGTGATACTGATGACTGAATCAAAAAATGAGCAAGTAATTTAGTGTTAGTTATCAGTACTTTCAGATTTTATCTGTAACAATGACTGGGGAAAGTAATATAATGTACTGTGAATGATTAAAAATTTATTTCATGTAATATATAATTCATTTTTAAACAGTCTGCAACAAAAATATTTTTGGAAACATCTTTTTCTTTTGGTAAAACAAACAGGTTAGCAATGACTAACAAATGGCTAAAATCCCCCACAATGATACAGTCAAATATAACCTTTCTTCACATTTCTCTAAAAGTTCAAGTTGATATCACTTGATAAAACAAGACAGTACAGACATTTCAATATTTTATTTAAGGCTTTTGACTGAACTGTAGAATATTAGGTGGGAAATCATAAAGATATTCATTAGCCTTGAACTCATCCATCTTACATGTGTACATACTGTAATAACCAAAACGAGCACGGAAGTTAAAAAAATAAAGCACAAAAGGATGCGATGGGTCTTAGCCCTATATGTTAAGAGTGGACATAAAAGATATATAATCAACACAATGTAACAGACAAGGAAAAAACAGTTTACAGGTGTTTTGTTTTTTTTTACTGTTAACAGCATATTCAGTTGTTCTTATCAAATTATTCAGAGGGTATCAAACTTCTGAAATGACCAAACTTCTGTGGATTATTTTTTAGTTACAAAATAAGGTTGGCCTCATGAAATGCAAAACATAACAAAACCATTTAAAGGCTTGGCAGAAATTAGTACATCTTAGAAAGCGGGAAAAGGAAACTCAATGTTTATATGCACAAGTATACACATACTCAAAAAATTTTCTAAGTATAATATGAATGAGACTCATCGAGTTTTTTGTAGTTAATTGTTGGCTACTTTCCTCCATGAAAGAACACAAGAATTTAACTCTCACAACGAGCTACTAGTTCAAAATTAAAGTAACATCACTGATGTTTAATTTAAATCTTACTAAAACCAATCACAGGCATATAGTCTAAACATAAAAGTACATGCCGTAGCTTAGGCCTCCTTAAAGTTCTTATTACAGGGTGGTTAAAGAAATAGAAACACAAGTAGAGTTATGTGCTGGGCAAAATATTAGCAAAACTTTAATTTATATTTAAATTTATCATTCTGTATGTCAAGTGCCTATTGGCTAAACAAAACTGTATTCAGAAATTCATATTTTATAATTTCATTCAACTAATACAAAAAGCTAAATAGGAAGATTTATAGTTGAACACTGAGTTGCTAAGGCTGGTATCAGGTATCATTCATTCTCTGATAAAGTGAGAATTCACTGGCAGAGGATTTAACAGCCAAACTGAGTGGTGAATTTAAATACCTTTCCCTAAATAACATACTGTGTAGTGACCTAAAGAATATTTTGTGTTATTCAACTTTCTTTTCTGGGCAGACTACCATAGCTCAATGACTTAAAAAACCAAATTCCAAAATTCAACCTGATAGCCTTAGTAAGGACAGTTAAAGATATAAAGATAGAAGAGATCATCCTCATCAATCATGGGAAAATATATCATCTGTGCCCCTCTGCCACAGTTCCAGGATAGCTAAGACCAATTATGAGGATTACCAATTAGTACTAGCAATTTAAAATAAAGAACTGTCTGTGCATACTTTTTTTATACTTATATATGGAAATGGGAGAGAGCAGAGCAGAAGAAGGTCTGAATATGCAAAACCTACAACACCCCTTCAAAAACTTATGAATTCTATGATCTCAAGGTCAAATTTAAATCAGCAAGAATAGAGCTGGAATTCCAAAACCTCTGAAAAGAAAAGGGCTAATAATAAAAACTGCAGCTGATTTTATGCACCAGGAATGAAATGTTATAACATATCTATCATTCACATGCAGGTTCATGTAATTTATCTTCAATAAGAATTATTATCTGTTTAGCAGCTGAAGCCCAGGAACTGCTGATACACTGCAGATGAGAAAACATTTGCTAGTCTCTCTGCTCTGGTCTTTCTTAAGCTAAATGATGATCACGCAACGGAGATCACTTGTTCTGGAAACGTTTTGTTTACGTGCACAGTCAGCTGCACTTGAGAAAACATTTGCTAGTCTCTCTGCTCTGGTCTTAAGCTAAATGATGATCACGCAATGGAGATCACTTGTTCTAGAAACATTTTGTTTACGTGCACAGTCAGCTGCACCTCCAGCACTTCTATCGGCAACATCGCTTCGTTCCCTTTCCCAGACTCTAGAGGTTCTGCTGTGACTCTTCAGCTTTATCAGTGCTACAATTCCATCCCAAATCCGCATAGAAAACATTATACAACTTTTAAATCCAGGATTTACTCCTTTCAAATGAGTTATTATAGCTCTTTTTAAAACAGATATTTAATATATTTGAGCCCCAAAGATACGGTAATTTAAAAGTAACTTTTACAATATTTATTACATACTGTATCTCAACACAGTCCTGACTTCCAAGGTTGTCAAGCTAGTGTCTCAAGTATTAACTTACACATTAATGGCAGTGCTGTCTGAGCTCATGTTTGACACAGTTCACATTGCCGATCAATAAAGAAAAATACAATCCAGAAATCAAGGTGGCATTTTCTACTGCAGTGTTTTCAAAAGTATGGTTAATGAATGTTAACAAGTATTTCACTTTAAAAAACAGGTTCCATCTTTAGATAAGGATACATTCAAAATGGTTTCAAAGGAATTCTTAGAGCATTTAATATGCCAACAGGCAGCTGTGCAAAGTCGTCAAATTATTTTTCCACAGAACTGTTTATTTCCATGAGCATCTCTTAGGAATAATGCTCCACAGAGCAGGTCTTGAGAAACACAGCTTCAGCATTTGGTATAGTCAGAAGCTTCACTAATTCCTCAGACTATGAGACATCGGTCTATTTCTTAAAATTAACAACAAAAATAACCGTTTAAGCCCGTAAGTCTGGAATTTCAGACTCAGAAAGTGAGCACTTGGGCAGGGAGGGGGAATACACCTGTTTATCATATTACTTCATTTTTGCTTCCCTAGCAAAATATGTTCCAAACTACCCATGTTAACCCACTCTTACTGATGGCTGTCCACAACACCTGAACAAACTAACCAATAAACAAAGGCTGCTTAAAGCAAAAACTGTGGAATAAAGTTTTCACTTGCCCAAATACACAAATGCCATTTAAAATCATTTATAATTACATGTTTAGAACTAGTAACCCTGGTTATCACTTAAGAGTCTATATACTGTATATAATTAGATAATATTATAGAGCTATCTTTGAAGCACAATTGAATAATTAAAGATGGTATGGAAAACTCTTTACTTGAGTTCATTTACTTTAGAGTAGTGTTTCTCAACCTTAGCACTACTGAGATTCGGGGCTAGATATTTCTTTGTTTTGGAACGTTGTCTTGTCCATTGTAGAAATAAAATGTTATCTCAAATGCATCCCACCAGTCATGACAAACAAAAATGTCCCCAACATATTGCTTAGATATAAGCAGATCGTTACCAGTTGAGAACCATCGCTGCTGAGAGAAAATTAAAGTTTATACCTTGATTCTGCTCTCCTGGGAAATGTCAATTTTATAGGCATACTGTGACTTAAAAGTATCAATAGCATCTAGTAATTTAGTAGCATGAGAGATCTTTCTAAATTCTATGTGATCAGAAACATAACGAATTTGTGAATCGTAGAGAATAGTTAGGAGGAAGCAGTCTACACATTTCAAAGAGAATTAGGGGTAATTTTACTATCATATCAGTTAAGAATTTTCTGAATCATGCTTAACTGACAAATATTTTAACAACTGGAAAAATGCTAATTGTATATTATAATCTGTTAAGGATCATGACTGAGGCAGTGCGAGAATAAAAACATAACAATCATAAATGGCTAACTCAGACCACATTCTATTCCTCGACTAAACATTCTCCATAAAATTCTCAATTCGAAAATCTCAAGTCTTGTCATTAAACTGCTTGCTTGCACTGTCAGCTCATCATTTCTTTCAAATTATCAAAAAGAAACCCTCCACATGTCATGAAGAATCCTGGTATGTGTCAAGAAGTACATTATCTAGTTTTAAATCCATGTCTTCAACATCCACATCTTCAGTTTTGTCATGCTTGTCAACTCCAGATACATTACTCTCTTTATTTTGTTCTTTTCTTACTGTCTTTAAACACTTGTCAAGTCTCTTTATGAACACGTCCACATCCTGTACCTTCATTCCGATGGCTGATGCAGCATTGAGGTAGGCACAAGGGTAATTATTTGTATGTGACATAAAGCCTCTGAAAGCGTAGCCACTCACAGTTTGCATAGACCCAGGAAGCACAACCCTGAAAGGGAAAAGACGTACTGATTTACTGTGTCGGGTGATATTAACAGAATATCCCCCATAAGCAACAACAAAATCTGTGTTACTTAGCCTTACATCTACTCATTAAGTAGTTTAAAAACAGGCATAAATCATAGGCTATGAAGGCACTTAAAAGCAAAAGTATACAATACACAGCAATTTTACCAGGAAAAGTAATGTTTGCTGATCACCATTTACTTATCTTCTATTAAAGAGGTATAAACTCTAGGAATCGCAAACACCTCTACATCTTCTTCAAAGAAGTAAAAAGAAAATGATTTCTGTTTTTGTACCAAATATGGAATCTGACTTCATATATATACACTTTAATGGAATGGTGAAATTTTTAAGTCAAACCACTTTGATTAATTGCCGTGTGTCACCTCAAACAATCAACAAACTAAAATGACACCTATCTGGTCAGTGCTATGCAATGGAGAGTATTAAAGCAAGGATCCTAAAGAAATGACGTAACTGTTTACAGTGGGGTAGTGGTCAGCAATCAGTAATATTCAGCAATGGTACAACCTTTTTTAAGCTTGATTTCATTGGCATACCTGATATAAGCGGATTTCTAAGTACTTTTTTTTTTTAAGTCAATTAAGATCAATTTAAGCATAAAGACAAATAGCGGCAACTCTAAAAGGCCAATAAAACCATTTTAGAAGTGTCAAAACTATGCTGTATTTTACAGATATAGTTCATCGAGGTAAAAGCTGAGTTAATTTAAGATCTTTTTTTAAGTTGTCCTTTGTTATGAAATCTCTAACCTCTGGTAGTCAGAGAAAAGTACTTTAATAGAAGAATGTACAGCAGAGTACTCAGAACAAGATATTTCTTTTCAAGTCATTTCTCTCTCTGACCTCATCAAATAAAAAATGAAAAATGAAATTAATTTTTAAGCCATGTACATAAGAGAGCAAAAAGTACATTTTCCAAAGACAGTACTTAGACAAGAATCGCGAAACCTTTTTAGTTTAGGAAATAGGCTTTTCCTTAAAAACATTTTCACTAAAAACATTTAGTAATGAAGATGCTTATTTCTAACATCATTATGTGACGCCACTGAAGATGATCTAATAAAGGAAAATAAAGACAAAAATTGATACAGAAAGGCAATGAAACAGTTTCTATATGTCTATTATAACAAACAAGATTCATAACTTTCTGTGACTACTGCAAGTGTAGGCAGTCCACAGGTGGGCCTTCCAGATTCTCTACCTCATAATTCTTTTAGCCTATGATGAATTCTTAGGGGTAGTTTGGCATATACTTGGGGGACTATTGTTAAGGAAAGGTACTTTATTAGCGTTAACTTTTAAAAGCCAAATAAATCCAAGCCTCTTTTACACAGACTTACCTGGCTCCAGAAACCTGTCTGGTAAAAAGCATTGAGCCGAGGTGAGTGACAGCTTTGTCATGCTGTTCATTTAGTGTCTTAAGTGTCATGGCTGAAAAAGAAAAAAGTATCCCAATGAGCCTTGGTTAACCAGCACAAAAATCACTCAAAAAACACACTTAATAATGGAGACATTACTTTTTTTTATTGTGTTAAAATATACACAACATGAAATTTATCATCTTAACCACTTAAAAATGTATGTTTGGTGGTATTAAATGCATTCATCGTTGTGTAACCATCAGCACCATTCATCCATCCCCATAATTCTTTACATCTAGTAAAACTTAAACTGTATACATATTAAAAAATAACTCCCCCCAGCCCCTGACAACCACTTTTATACTTTCTGTCTCTATGATTTTGACTACTCTAAGTACCTCAGATAAATTGAATCATGTGGTATTTGTCTTTTTGTGACTGGCTTATTTCACAGACGTTACTTTTTATTCATTGTCAAGAGGCATGATTTTACTTTAATGCACTTAATAAATTATATTAAGGACCTGTTTGCATATCAGACAAAAATATGTTAATATAAACTGAATCGGACAGAACTTCCATATCACACTTCTAAAGAGTGAATTTTCCAATTAAAAAGATGAAACAATGGTATGATCAATATGGAAGTTTATTCAAATTCAATCATGTTTTAAGAACTTGTAAAATGAGAATGTGGGATGTATTCTAGCACATATATAAGACTAAACTATGATCACCTCTACATATAGAAATGAAAATTACCTTCCTAAGGTTATGTGGGTAAGCTGTAATCTAGTCATACCACCAACCACCACTACTAGTTACCATTTCCTGAAGATGGACTTACCACACTAGATCGTTTACAAAATAATCTCAATAATTCTTTAACAATTTTGTATGTGAGGAATCATTATCTCTATTTTATAGATAGTTACGGGCTAGTACATGGCAGAATTCAGATTCAAACCATACCATATCACCTTCTATAACAGTTACATAGATAGATTATAAACCAGCAAGGACTGACTAAAGTGGGTTTTATTATATATCGACAGCCAAATAGTTTTTCATGGAAGCCTATTTCTGAAAAAGGTTTCATTTAGAGATGACTATTTCCTTGCTTTCCTCAGATACACGTGCAATATGAAACATATTACACTGCATACAGTCACAAAAGGATAATTATGGAGCTTAAAGATTACTGAAAATGCATACAAAATCAACATTTATATTATCCTATTTAGTAGCTCTTGTACTACATGACAAAAATACACAGTCCTTATACAAAGAAAATTATCATAAATACAGACTTCTCTAACATTGAAATGCTCAAGAAAACAAATAATAGCATTAAAAACAATATAACAACCACCTTACCTTCTCATATCATGGTGTTTTGTCAACCGGTAGAAATTTTTTAATATTTACATAGAGTTCTTAGTAGTAACTAAATTATTTTGGTTAGAAACGAATGTTAAAGTATTGTCTGTATGTTCATTATAATTCTATTGATTTGGATCCTTTCAGTACATAGTTGTTATCTTAGAAATACCTTAAAGCATTTCTAAAGCCTAACTAAACTTTTTCAATTTACAAAGTAATACTGTAATAAATTCAGAAATATCACTGTAACCAGAAAGAATTCATACTCTTTCTAGTAATACC